GCCCATGAAGTTTTAGGGTTTCCCATGTATTTAAGACCCCTTATCTCGGTTTTAGAGTTCATTTCTCAACCTCCACATTCTCCTAACTCAAAAAACCCTAACCCTAATTCACTTTGGTGATTTTGGATCCATTTTAGTGTATTGGTGGCTAGAAGAAGAAAAATAAGAAGAGGTTCTAGAGTGTTGGTTCAGCAAGGAGGCTTCATCATCATCATCTTGTGCACATTTTGGGCCATTATAAGTGTCTAAGATCCAATCTTTATGAGCTCAAATTGCTAGATCTAAATTCTAAGCTCCTTTTTGCATGTTTATGTTGGATTGCATGCTTGGGATCCATAAAGTTGGCAACTTTATGGATCAATGAGTTATTCTATATGATTTAGTCTTATGGATCTGGAGTGTGGTTATAATTTACGAATCTTATTTGAGTTTGGGACAATTTCTTTTCATTTAGACCTAAGGTGGGTTTAGGACATTCTTGGGGCATGTATGTCCATCAAGTAATCATTTTTATAGGCCTTTGGAGTTCTTGTTAGCTTTTGAAAGAAGTAGGATTGAAGACTTAATGGATTAAGGACTTAAAATTAGGTTTTAGCCTCAGATTGTTCTCACGACATGAGATACAAGGTCTCACGACGTGAGAAGCATTTGATCTCATTTCTGGTCATCTGCTTGGGGCTCACGACGTGAGAAAGGCTTCTCACGACATAATAGCAGCCTCGTTGACTTTCCCTTGATTGAGTTGACTATGTTGAGTCATGATGAGTTGGGATCGAATTAATTGAGTTGGGCCCTAGTTTTATGTATGTGGGCCTTTTTTATGCTTAGGCCCATTTGGAACTTTAGGTACCTTTTAGGAGTTTGGGCCTCCTTGGATTAGGCCCAAGATGGGTTTTGGGCCAATTAGGAAGTTGGGCCATAATGGGATTTTGATGCTATTGGTGGGCCTTGGATTTTGGGCCAAGTGAGGAAAGAGTAAAATGGACTTTTACCTTGAGTGTTGTAACGCCCGTAGATCAGCGCTAGTTAATTTAGATACGATAAGCGTCAAAAATGGCTTTTTTATAGAAGATTATTTATAATGAATAATCTTAACTAAGTTGTAGCATATGTTACAAGGATTTCGTACACATAAAGAACGCCGAAATTCGAGTTATAACGAAGAAGTTATGACTTGTCGAAGTTTCGCGACAGAACCGGCATGGCACTGAATGACGTAAAAAGTGAATTTACGTTAGAGCAATATTTAGCCTTAGTGATCTAAATGAATGTCGTAGAATATGTTAAACCGAGAGCGTGCATAAAAAGAACACCCAAATCTGACTTCGTATGAGGAAGTTATCATTTTCCGAAGTTTTGACTTAGCGGTATGCAACCCGAATACTCGAATATGAGATCGAGTGATTTTTAGCTGAAACAATCTAAACGAGAGTCGAAGATCTCTTCGATAGTAGTCCAACGATAAAAAGACAGACGAAAACGGAGTTCAGATGAAGGAGTTATGAATTTCAAACGGAGTTTTCTTGTCCCAGCCTACTAAAAATAATATATAAGTAATATATTTATAATATATTAAAAATAAAGTCAAAATTAGCCAACAGAGTCTAAACAAGAGTTGTAGATCATAATCTCACGTACGCGTCGATATAAAGAACGTCGAAAACGGAGTTCGTATGCGAAAGTTATGAATTTCTGAAGTTCGGGGCGCGAAACCCCAAAACTGTCAGATACCACGACGTGCCAAGAAGTGCCACGATGTGGCAAGTCTTCTGACACCTCCGGGAGTCCCCCAGACGCAACTTGCGATGACGCATGAAGGGACGACCAAGCCCAGGACGTGGAAAAAGGTGTCACGACGTGGCAATGGCAAATTTTGCCCTATAAATAGATTTGAAGGGCCAATCGATTATGGTTGCTCCATCCCTTCTCTCCCACACCCGATACACCCTCTAAGCCCTATTTTAACCCCACCCCACCCCTTGAAGCCCCGATAACATCCCGAGACCCGAAGCGAGTCCCGAAGCCCGAAGATCCTGAGAAGAAAAGAGTTTCCGAGCCGAAGCTCTGTCCGCGAGAAACCCGGTGTGTGAAGATATCCCGGTTTCACCGAAAAGTTCTACTTGAAGAGCCGTAGTGTTGTCCGAGCATCGTCTAATCAAGTGAGTGTGTGGTTACTTTATTCTAAGACATAAATATAAAATATTAGCTATGAAATACGTGCTATGTGTTATGTATTATTTGTGTATTTGAGATGGGCTTGGAATTGATGTTTTTTTACGGGTGTTAAATGATTCAAACTATATATGTATTTTATATCTACAAAATATGTTGGGTAGAACATGGGTAGATGACATAGTGGCAACTATGAGACGTAGTGCCTATTGTATAAACCTTAGTGACTATGGAGTTAGTGCATATTGTATAAACATTGATGACTATGGAGTTAGTGTATATTGTATAAACCTTGGTGACTATGGAGTTAGCGCCTGTTAAAGTAAACCTTGGCGACTATGGAGTTAGCGCATGTTAAAGTAAACCTTGGCGACTATAGAGTTAGCGCTTGTTGAGTGAACATTGGTGACTATGGAGTTAGCGCCTGATAGCTATGGATTTAGTACCTGATAGATAAACTTTGGCAGCAATGGACTTCGTGCCGATTCCTTAGGTAAATCCTTAGGAACGAATGGATAAATGATAGTTAATTCTTAGGGTAAAACCTTAAGAAATAAAGAGGATAATGGGGATGGGTATTTGGGTTGATTGTTTGATAATTGAATATAATAAATGTATTATTGTGGGTTGAAAACCATATATGCTCACCAGGCTCCCAAGCCTGACCCACTCAGTTTTCTTTGTATCACAGGTATCGATACGAAGACATATTTCACGGAGAGATTAAAGGAGATGTAAAATCTTTAGTGTAAATAATGTGAGTTCTGTTTATGCTTATGTGTTTGTATCGGAACATGACATCCCGAGATTTTGTTATATAATGAAAATACATTTCTTTAAAGAAATGCTTTGATAAATTCTTATCATATTTTGTTTTGGGAACAGATTCCGCAACCGTTTTCTTTAAAACATTACTCTGATTTTAAAAACAAATCATAAACAAATCGGTCTTTTCTGGCCGTGAAATTGGGGATGTCACAAGTGTTGAACAATCGGACTTGGATCCTAGCTATGGGTTGTGGACCAATTATTAATAGGGTATTATTTGTTGGTGCTACTGCGAGAGAATTTTCCGGATCGGTGGTCCGATACTTTATCTGAGATATTCGGCAGTTTGAGGTGAGTCTTCCTCACTAGGTTTAGTGGGTCGAAGGTACCAATGTTGACCTAGGGTTTATTATGTTAGGGTGCTAGATGTTTGCGTAACTCTTACATGTGTATGTGTTCGTATGCTTAACGGGCAGGGCCTAAAGGTTATTTTGTATGCTATTACTTGTTATACTTACATGTTTGTATGTTGCGAGTTAGGGTGTGCCCTGTTATACTCTGTGGGCGGGCCCATTATGTAAGTTAGGGCGAGGCTCGTCACACTTATTGGGATGGGGCATGTTGATTAGCAGATGGGCGGACCCCAATGACTGGCGGAGCCCATTATGTGATTGATATGTATGGTATGTGGTATTTTGGGTAATTCAGTAAGCTTTGTGCTTACGGTTTTCATGGTTATGGTTTCAGGTACTTCTGGTTCAAAAGGGAATGACCCAGCTTGATCGCAGCGTATCCACCCATGTTTCTATATTATGTTGATTTTCGGATTGTAGTGTGATAACTATTTTCTTATAATGTACTTTTGAATATTTAGATGACATATATGGAATGTTTTCTTAAGGATACTTAATGTTTTGGTTGAATTAAAATGAAATTTTTACCTCATAATTTTAGGATGTTACAAGTTGGTGTTGGGGCCTTGGTTTGAGGGATTCAGACATACTCTCAGGTATGTTTGAACTAAAACCGAGGAACTGATAATCTTTTGAAAGAAAACAAGCTCCTAAAAAGATTTTGTAAAAGGTTTCCTATCATTCAAAGTACAACGAAACCATTTTACTCTTGTGAAACACAATCTGCCATATTTTTGGCATGTTGTATTCTACATAAGTTTCTACTAGATAAAGACCGCAACATAGATCTTAAACATGAGGTGACGTAGGAGATCTTAAATGGACTATAAGAGCAAGATCGTCGTAACTCAACATAAATAGATAAGGCTAGTAGTAGGATAGAGCAATTAAGGAATTTAATTGCAAATGAAATGTGGGCAAACTATTTGACACATTCAAACAATTAAATTAATATGTGAATTTGGTTTCCTAATAGCACATTCAGTTTTTCAATTTCATATTGTATTGAAGATTGGTTTTTTAAATTATTTTTGTTATTTACCCTTCATATTTTTCATAAGTACCATGTTAAGAGTTTCCAAGAATTTATGTAGTCTAACAATGTATCCTTTTTTATTTATTCTTATGTGCAAAATCATTATGACCAAACAGGAAGCCACTAGTATGAGTAAAAAGGAACACGTTAAGTAGATGGAGAAAATGGATTCTGGATACATTCAAGTGATGATTAAACAACAAGAAATGGGCAATAGGATAAATGGTACTTTCACATCGTATGCATATGCTAAAATGGTTGAGGATTTGAATACAAATCATCAGATGAGTATTAACAAAAACCATTTTAAGAACCGCTTCAAAACCTTAAAAACACATTTTTCTCAATGGTACGATTTGTTTAAAGGAACTTCATTTAGTTGGTTTTCTTGGAATTTGTCTGCTTAACTAATAGAAGCGGAACACGAAGTAGGGGATAAGTTAATAGAGGTAAGTGTTCCTTTTATGTCTAGGTTACCGCACTAAATAGTTTATGTTATCGTTTGCAATATTAATTATGCTTGTGTTGTTAAACAGACGCTGAGGGTGCATTGTTAAAGATAAAAAAAGGTGGCAAACTATGATGAGACACTGATATTATTTGCAAGGGATATGACATATGGTGCACATGTTAAAACAACGAAAGAAATAAATGCTCGGTTAAATATGAATGAAAATGTTCAAATAGAAACAGTTATTGAAGTTGATGAGTTGTTGACTGCCAATGAAGTTCGTTTGGAGAACCAATATAATGACATTGATGATAACATTTGGGAGGTTTCCCCTACTCCCTTTTTACCAAAGCAGTTATCAAGTGCAAAGAAATGTAAGAATAAAAAGAAAAAATTAGAATAAGAAGAAGATGTTAATGTAAAGATCATGGAATTTGTTGATAATGCGACTGCTACTATTAAAGAGGGTAATATAATATTTCATAGAGCTTATCCTCAAGAATATATATGGGAAGTAATTTATACGGAGTTAGAGTTGGTGGGTTCGGAACCCCATAAACTGCTGAGGACTTTAAATTTTTTGATAATAAATCAAGTAAATGCTAGGATACTATTTAGTTGTCTCCTTCAGATACGGATAAATGTATTCAAAGATATGATGAGTGCATGTGATTGAATTAACTAAGGTGATTGTTATTAGATTGATCTTATGTGTTTATTTACTTGAAACTTATTTAATTTGGTAGTTTTGGACGAGCATGTGATTTTTTTTTTTTTTTTGAAATTGTTCGTGTTTTTCGTTTTGTGTGTTGAATACGATTGACAATTATTGGTTTGAGCGTATGTCTTTACTCCTTTCATGATCTTTCATGCTGTTTTGCTTATTGTTCTTGACTTTATTATTATTATTTTTTTAGGGTTTTGGATAAGGGGAGAGAGAGAGAGGAGGAGGGGGGGTTGTTGAGTGGGGATAGGAGTTGTAAACATCTGATATTCCCTTAATCATAACGGAGGATATAATTGTTCTTTTTTTTTTTTTTTTTTTTTTTTTTTTTTTTTTTTTTAATTTAATTTAATTTTCTTTTCCTTTCTGTTCCTAAAATGTATATTTTCTTTTTCTTTCGAACTCGTTAACAGGGAATAATTTATTCCTTTCTCTCGTTGTTCTTTTTTAACAAATATATATAAATAAATAATAAATTTATTTTGATGCTTGAACCCATAGAATGACAGAACAACCGTTGTAACCCGTTTGATTACAAGATGACCTGCTGTAGGCAATCTGGTAGGGTTTACACACTGCCACCCGCCGGTCACTCATGGCGCTCCAATTTCCGCTAGGTATATAAACTGCTGCTGAACCTTGCAACATTTTTCGGTTCCGACTCGACGCGACAATCTTTGTTAATCATTTCAGAGGTTAGCTGTTTTTTTTATTCCTCAGTGATCAATGAGTGTTTCTTTGCTCTCTTTGTATTCGTTAAAATTGTGAACTATTTTAATTATCTGATCAACACTTGAACTGGACAAAAAACGAATCTGTATCTGTTTCGTTTGTTATTATCAATTATCAGTTATCAATTCGATTTTGTTGTTTAAGTTCTCGCTAAGTATCGTGTTCTAGAGAATTTTAATTTTCTCGCATTTTACGCGATTTTACGGATGGAATACAATAATTCTACTTTGATCTTCTTTTATCGATTTTCAATGGAATGCGATGATGAATTTCCTTCCTGTAATTGTAGTTATTTTCGTGTTTCTCTGCTGTAATGCCTTCTTAGGCTGTCATTTTGTGGAGATTCACTGCGTAGGCTTTCGTTGCTCTTACTTCTTAGTTGGCTATACAATAACTTAGGGTTTTTTACTTTTATCCAATTCAAATTAGGGTTTTTTCAGTTTTTATTCTTCCGAGATAAAGAGATGCTCTTATTTTGCTTTTCTATTCTCGATTTGGTATCCATACATGTGTTGACAAGGGTTCTTGATTCCAGATGGTACATTCTTCATCGAGTTCTGGCATCTTCTTTGAAGAAGATGAACAGTCTCAAGGTCTACCGAATTCACATTTGAGCCCCTACAGCTACAGGAACTCAAATTTAGTTCCACAAAGCATGTACTCAAACATGCTTCCCGTTTCTGGTGATGTAAGCATGGGTGCTAGTTCAGGGCTAACCATGGGAGCAAGTTCATTGGTGACAGATGCCAATTCAGGGCTTTCAGGAGGTAGTAGTAACCCATGTATCCAAAGAAGTGCAAGTATCAACAATGAATCTTACATGCGGTTACCTGCATCACCATTATCATTCTCTTCCAATAATGTTACCAATAATGCTTCTACTGCCACCTCATTGCCTAATCCAAGACTCGGACAAGTTCCTTTCACTGAAACTTCAATGTTTCCTGGATCACTTTATTCAGATCATGTGGCGAAGAAACCTCGACTTGATATCAAACATGATGATATCTTACAACAGCAGTATTTAAGACAGCTATTGCAAAAACAAGAGTTGGTTCAGTCACAAAATTCTAATGCACAGTTACAAGCTTTATATTTACAGTCTCTGCCACCTGGACAGCGGGCCCACTTGCTTCAACAGCAGCAACAACAACAACAACAGCAGCAACAACAGCTCCATCTGAGGCAAGCTCTTCAACAACCTGCATCTGCTGTAAACCGATCATATGATGGTGGTGTATGCTCAAGGAGACTGATGCAATACCTTTATCATCAACGCCAACGTCCAGCTGTCAGTTTATTTTTCAAGAACTTAGTCTTTCTGTTTAATTTATGTTTTATACATCTAATTTTCTTCTTCATTATAATTTATAGGACATTTCTTACTGGAGAAAGTTTGTGGGAGAGTACTATTCTCCACGTGCAAAAAAAAGATGGTGTCTTGCTTTGCATAATAACATGGGACATCACCCATCAGGTGTATTTTCCCCTGCAAATCTGGTACGTTTTTTTTTTCAAAGATTTCAAGAACTTAATCTTTCTGTTTAATTTTTGTTTTATACATCCCATCTTTTTGAAACCCTTTTTGTGCTTTAGGATGCATGGCAGTGTGGTATCTGTGGGTCAAAATCTGGAAGAGGATTTGGTATGTAGTTCTTAATCAATGTAGTATTATTATATATTTACAATTTTGCTACTTGAGTTGAATCATGGTTTTTTGTACCTTTGTTTTATTTTTTTTTATAACAGAAGCGACATTTGAAGTACTGGCTAGGCTTAATGAAATAAAATTCAGTAGTGGTGTTATTGATGAGCTTTGGTTTCTTGACTTGCCTCGGGAATGCCGATTCCCCTCTGGAATCATGATGTTGGAATACGGGAAAGCAGTTCAAGAAAGTGTGTATGAGCAAAGCCGTGTTGTTCGTGAGGGGAGGCTTAAAGTCATTTTTACCCCTGACTTAAAGATATTCACTTGGGAATTCTGTTCACGTCGCCATGACGAGCTTCTTCCTCGTCGACTCATTGCTAATCAGGTAAAAACTATATATATATTTTTTGTTTTTTTTTTTTTTTTTTTTATAGATTAAAAAGTATTCTTTTTTGTTTTTGTGTTTTTGCAGGTGAATCAGTTGTTAGAAGTTGCACAGAAATGGCAATCCACAATTGCCGAAAGTGGATCTGGTGGTGTATTGCAGCAAGATTTGCAGGCTAACAGCAATATGTGAGTATTAACTTGTATTTTCAGATAATAATAATACTATTGTTTTCATTTTATTATAAATGAAATGAAAATTGATGGTTGACTTTTTGGTTGTGGTCAGGATTGTGGCGGCAGGGCGGCAGCTGGCAAGGAGCTTGGAGTTGCCATCTGTAAATGATTTAGGTTTTACGAAAACATATGTGAGGTGTTTACAGACAGCTGAAGTTGTCAACAGCATGATGGACTTGGTGGATATTACCCGTGACACCAAAATTGGCCCTATTGGTATATAACCTTTTATCAAGTCCTTGAGGGTATTTATGTCTTTTGCACATACATCATATACAGACTGTTTGTTTGTTTCAGAGGCGTTGAAAAGCTTCCCACGGATGCAAAAAGTACAGGGCATGGGAATGGGACAGGTGTCAAGCATTCAGGGACTCCAGGCTGACCGGAGGATGAACAGCAATAATTTTCAGATGGGAGGAGGATCAACTCCACCACCCTTGGAGTACCAGAACATGTTAATGAAACAACGTTTGATTAATTCAAACTCCCAACATGAGATTGATGCCTCAACCTGTTTCAACAACTCTATCCACAACCGAATTCATGTTGGCTATCAACAGTTTCCAGGTCTCCAAGCTCAACAGAATGAGCACCACCCACAAGGTGTTGGTGGTGGTGGAGGGTCAAAGCCGTCGGTGTCTGGTCAAAGTGCGGGTGAGGCGAGTAGGAGCAATAGTTTTAAAGCTGGTTCACACAGTGACTCGTGTGCAGATGGTGAGAAAATAGCAGCAGCAGCAGATATGCCTGAGTTTGTGGACAGTATGTTTATTAATACCAATGAATGTGAGGATGGCGGGAGTTATGGCTGGAAGGCATGACACCCTGGAATATATATATATCATTGTACAGTGGCCCCCCCCTTTGCTTTTTTTTTTTTTCATCTATGGAGTTGATGCAATCTGAATCTATGGGTGCAAAGATTTAACAGTGGTTTTTAGGTTTTTGCCAAGTACATTTAGTCACCGGATCTTTACTTTATCATGCAGTAATCATAGTAGGGGAATGGAATAAAACGTTATATGATGGAATGGAAAAGTCATGTTTGTTTGGATTGGGCCATTTCTTATGGAATGTGATTCCCTCTACCTTTCATTTCATTTATTCTTTTGATGAAATGAAGTTATAAATTATTTTTATTTATACAATTTTCAGCAACACCACTTTTTTTTAAAAAGAAAATTATTTTTTACTTTGTTAATTTTAAAATTTTCATGGTATTTAACTGTTTAATGTTTATAATAATTTTTTTGTAGAATAAATAACTTTCTGGCAAATTATTTAACGATCTACTTTTTTTAATTAAAGTTTAATTGACAAAATACCAAATTTTCGACTCATTTCATCGATTCAAACCAACCAAACATCACTATTCATAGAATGCAATTATCTAGTCCGCTACCTTGTTGATTCTGTTACAGTGTATATTCCATTCATTACCTTATCATTTTCCGCGTTTTTATTAAACCAAGATTTATTATCCCAATTTATGGCTTTTTAGACGAAATATACAACAAGATAATTGAAAACCATAACATAAACGGTATATAAGCAATTCATACCAAAAAAACAGCCTTCTACAGTAACTTATAAATCCCTATACAACTAACATGCTTCTTATAAAACGATCCATAAAAAGATGTCACAAATTTAGGCAACAAGTAGGCAATTAACAAAGAAAAAAAAAGAGGACAATTTACTCTTTGATTGCTGCTCCGACATCAGTCGTTTATCCGCTAATCTAATTACCATCTTTTTCCATTTGCATTACTCGATGACCTCATCATCATCATCCTCATCATCATCAACATCGGAATCATCGTTTCCGACCATTATTCCACCACCAAGCAACGTGTTGAAAATCATTTGTTCCCAACCTCTTATGCTTGCAGTGAAGGAACGGAATCGGGAAGGACTATTACTTGCCTCGGCTTCACAATTTTTTATAGGGGAGCAACAATAATCAGCATCTGAATAGTATTTCAGAGTACACTTTCCACTCGGATCCATTATATCCGCATCAAACGCAGGGGACAGAGGCCGTCCCACCACTTGGACATGGGACACACTGCAATGAATGCATCATTGTAAGTAAACAAAATTAAGGGCATTTACGTCTTTTCCTATCACCAAAATTTGCATAATTTAAATACGTTTACCATATGTAGTATTTCTCATCCATTTCTTGTTTTTGAACCCTACCCAATAACTCTATCTGCAAGATCCCTCCGATGCATAGAGCCGGTTCTGGTAGCTTAAACCTTTGCAGCCGGCTCTCCTGTCACATCAACATAAAAACAGGAAATATTTATATTTTTGATAAATTAATATAAGATATGATATAATGAAAATCTTATTAAGAAGAAGGGATAAAATGTAATACCACAATAGATAAATAAGCAACCGACAAAATTATCATACAACTCACCTGTGCCATGGGAAATGATGGAGATGTATATGTCCACACAACATTATCACGAATAAACCTCAGAGCAGCTGTAGACTCATCTTTCATGTCATTTTCAATCTCATAAGCTGGCTTCAAATGCCCCAATCGAAATCTCACAGCTTTTGCAGAATAAATTGGAAAACCAAATTGAAAATATGCTGGTAGACCAACAAAATTTCATCAGTACAAAAAAAAAAAAAAAAAAACTCAAATATTTTGACAAATTACAAGAATAACCTTGAAACGGGTGTATGTGGATCTCAGTTATCACACAAAGATTCGCAACAAGTTTATATACTAATGTTTCAGGAACTGCAGGGTCAACTGCCCCTTCACTTGACCAATATGAAGCCCTTTGATCAACCCTGTCACCTGGTTCTAATGTGTGATGGATGCTTTCTTGAGGATAGTTATCGGTGCTTGATGCAACAATGGCTTCCAATATGCAATCTTTTCTCATAAAAGTGGTTAAACCCCTTGCTAAAAATGCATATACTCTGTGTTCCCTTTCCAAGCGTGACCATTCCATTGAAGTTTCATGCCTGATTTGTAGAGGTTCTATCCTATCATTCACTTCTATAACATGAGCGACACTTGATACTTCAGGAAACATTCTTATGCAAAGCTGCTTAGCAAGGCCATTCATGACAACTGCATCACAAAGATTAGCATGTAAGGATATTTTCTATGTTTCAATCAGTTATAAAATGACACCAATTCTGTGAATCTTATAAGATACAATGAGTGATGAACTCACTAAATCGACGCCAGGAGCTTGAAACTGCACTAGCACGAACAAGGTCTGTTGGGTTCTCTAAACTCGCTAGTATCTTAATGGACATATCTGCTCCAAGCCATTGTAGGAAATCACAGAATTCCTCCATGAACTCCAAATCTAATGTTATCTTCACAAATTCTGCTAAGAAAACTTGATGATGTTATATATATCTAAAGCAGAATTGTGCAGAACTTAAACATACGTAAAGGAAATTGAAGAGATCAAGTATACATGATTGACAATTAAGACACTCATAATCAACTATCGGATCACTGGTAGTTGGTATCTATTAATTCATATTGGATAGCACCGCACAATGCATCAATAGTTATACTTGTAGAGATCTTACGCAATTCTGAAGAACAAATCGGGTATCTATAGCAATTCATAAATGAAATCCAACACGCGTACATGAAGATTGATAAAACATACAATTCGAATCAAGAGAACACGAAGAAAAATTAGGAGAAGGTGAAAATGATAGAATTCGTGGACAACATCCTACCGAACTTTGTGTATTTTTTAGGGAAATACAATTGGAGGGTGTGGAAAAGAGAGGAGGATGAAACCACACCATCCCGACGAGATTACGTACCGGATCGAAGGGCGAAAACCGTCCGAGGAGACGGAGGATGTGGTGGCAACACCAACGGAACCACAGCTTTTGTTGGTGATGATGATGTCGATTGGAGGGGAGTGAAGACAATTTTTTTTTTGGGGAAAATCAATTATTTGGTTGTCATCTAAACTAACACTACCATTTATTCAGAAAAAAATTTCTTTTTTTATTTTTTTTTCTTTTTTTATTTTTTATTTTCTCATATCAATGTATAAAATTAATAAATATAAACATATCATTATCAATGTATATCAGTTTTGATATTTACCAAACATCAAATATAACACCAACTTTAGTATTAGAATACTGTAATATCAAATTTGTTGGGTAAAATGTATTATCAGCCTATATAATATTAAAGTTTTAATATAAACTTTGATGTTATGATAAATTTAAGGATCAATTGACATGTAACGTTTGGAAGCTTCTATCTTTTAACGTTTGGCAAAATATTCCGTTTTGAAAAAAAAAATCTCGTTTGACGTTACAATCTTTTAACGTTTAGTTTAAACAAAATGTTCCAAATCTAAAAGTTATCTCACATACTAGCTACCCGCTAATGTTGTTAGCTAGTTTTGTTGAACAACACTCATATTAATAAGAACTTATTAATAATTGGTTTATTATTTTATAAAAGCTTATATTTAATATTGTTAGTTGTGATGTTATATTATAAATTAAGTTAGAAACACTTGACATGTATTACAATGATAATCTAATAAAATTATATATATATATATATATATATATATATATATATATATATATATATATATATATATATAAAACATATTAGTCATATCTTAAATTTTAAAAAGTATAAGATACAAAGTTTTTTATACAAATCAATTATGCATAACAAACCATTAATAATTACCAAATTTTGAAGACTTGAATTAATCAAGGTTATTAAAAAATAAATTTGGAGCAAAATAACAATTTTAAAATATTAAATTAATCAATATAAATTAAGTTACATTTCTTAAACTAGATACAAATAATAATTAATTTAATCAAATGTATAAACAGACAATATAAATATAAGTTGTAAACATAAATATTTTAATTAAAAATGGTAATTTTTCTTATTATATAATAAATAACAAAATATAATAATTATTTTCTCGTAAGAAAAGTATTCGCCAAAAAAATTATTTATCGCCGCTGCTTTACGCGGACACACATCTAATGTGTGTGTGTCTATATATATATATATATATATATATATATATATATATATATATATATATATATATATATATATATATATATATATATGCTTTAGGTTAGAGAGAGTGGTGGTGTCAACAAAAAAACATAACCTTTAGCGATGACAAAAACGTTGCCATTGATGCCTCGTGTTGTCGCTACTACCTTTAGCGACCACATCATCTCTAATACTCGTAGCTGATACTCGTTTATCGTCGCAAATGATGTGGTCTCTAATATTTGTCGTCGTTAAATGTCTCTGTCATCGCTATTGTCTTCGTCTCTATTGATATTCCGACCACCGGTTCGATTTTTTCCGGCAACTCTTCTCGGAATCAGGAGTCGTCGCAATTAGTCAATGTCGTCCCAAAAGGTGTAGCTGCTAATGCTTTTTTTTTTTTTTTTTTTTTTTTTTTGAAAATAGCAATTTTTTATGATTTTAGTTTATATATATATATATATATATATATATATATATATATATATATATATATATATATATATATAAAATAAAATGCAGATTTTATAAAAATATAGAAATAAAGACATACCACATTACATAAACTATCTAATAAATCCAAAATAAACATCAAATATATCATCTATACACTATCTAATAAATCAAAACTAACATCATCCATAACATAAAACAAGAAATACTATTCGTTTTCCCCATCATTGCTTTCTTTGTTGTTGATTTGGTGTTTAAACGAGCAGATAATATCTCAAATTGCTGTCACAAACGTTGGGTTTTGAAGAAAAACGTTCACATCAATATCCTACAATTAAGTCACAAACACATTAAGTCATTAAAAATTTAACAAATTATCAAACTATCAAACCACCAAATGAATTAAGTCGTTAACAATTTAACAAACTATTAAACCACCAAATCAATTAAGTCTTTAACAATTTAACAAACTACCAAACTACCAAATTACAAAAAATTACTATAAATGCATCAAGTTCTTTACAATATAGCAAAACTATCAAATTTTTTAAGAATTTAACAAGTACATGTGTTGTTTGTGGTGCTTGTGAGTGTGATTGTCATTGGGATGAGACACTTGTACCTGTTGCAAAAGGAGGTTTAGGCTCATTGCCTCTCACATGCCCCTTTCGAGCACCTAACACCTTCTCAAATATTTCGATCTAATCAATGGAGTCTGGATCACCACCGAAAAGTCGGCTATGTGCTGAGTTTGTAATGCAACCTTAGCAACTAAGGCATTATGTATTTCACAAAGATTGTCAATATACGTTAAAACTAACACACAAAAAAAAACAACAATCTAATTTTATTATTAAATAATAATAACTTACATATTGGTATTCAACTAAAAGATCAACAAATTCCTTTTTTTTATTCACATACCCATGATGAAATGTTTCAAGTCTATTCAAATTATGTTTAACATTACACAATATGTTATACTTGACTAAAAATTAAAAATATGTTATAACTTAATAAACATTATTGTAACTTACGTTCTTAAAAAAAGCATTACCATAGCTGCACGTCCCTCCATGATTCTTAACTACTTGCTTCTTCTAGCAATCTTTGTTTTTAGCGGATCGTTTTTGATGATTTTCTGTTAAGAAGTGGCCAATAACATTACTCCAATGCTGCGGATCCATACCCCGAGGGGGTTGATCCCTTGCTGCCTCGACATCCCCTTCAAAACCAGTAAAACGAGTTTTTGCAATATGTTTGCGGCCTCTATATCACGCAAATATCCGATTGTTCAGTGACGCCCAATAAACTGAAGCCATGGGATCATTTGAAATCGCTCCAAAATCAAACCATGTCTACAAAAAAAATAGAGAAATTAAAAATAAATCAAAATTAAACATTAAATATAACTTTATGAATAATTTACTGAAAGATACTGGAGCATGCCAACCCTTTCGGCTTCAGAAACTTCTTTCCATATGTTCTTATTGAAAGCGATGCCGCACCACATATAGCTCCTAATACTTCCTCAATCGGCATGTGAGTATTTATGTCCAATATCTTCAGAGGCCATTTGTCGTTAGCTGCAAATAACTTGTATATATATTTGTTTACTGACATGCATCTTCGTTTTAGAGCCACCGCTGCATAAAAAATATTAGTCAAAATAATTTTTTATATACATACAATATGAAATACAATGAATTAGAATAAATCTTAATTACCATCGATCTGGTGATCACTAAAACCTCCATGGAACGGATGTGGCGACTCGTCACCACCCTCACTTCCATGCGCCCATCAGAACAACTATGGGATGGAGCAATGCAATCCAAAAAAATGACATCCTGAAAAATTATAATACAATATATATATATATATATATATATATATATATATACACACACACACACACACACACACAATATGATATGATTACAACAAATACAAACCTTATTTTACTAGTCAAACGTAAAGATTTTTTAATCATTCTCGCCCGCAGACACTTCAGTTTTTGTTGACACATCATTATCATAATAAGAATCCTCCTCATCATAATCAGTCTCGTAGTCAGACACATTATTGATGATACCTGTTGGCGGACCAACGTCAGTATCATCTTCAACCGATTGGGAATTTTGAAAGTACTAGCTAAAGTCGATTAAACGAGTGAAAATAGAAGAAGCATTACTAAAAACGACATCGGTTGAATCATTGTCGAAATTTTCAATGGGATCATGGTCGACATCGTTCATCGGTAGATCCTAAATTCTTCTATGATTAACATTTTCAACAACCCACCGTTGGTTGTCATTTTCGTCACTTCGAGAAGGTTCTTGGATGTAAAATATTTTCTTTGCTTGCATAGCAAATATGAGTTGATCTTCGCCGCTTAATTCGCGTTGTGGATCGATACTGGTGAAATTATTATCATATTTAACTCCTGCAGTATCGAACCACTTGCAACAAAAAGTACAGTGGAATAATTATGAGGATAATGTAACTCAATAATATCTTCTAGCTGACCATAATATTTATATTTATTCTCTCCCTCAGTTAGAACCTCCGAGTTTTGTGTTAAACATTAGGTGTTACGCATAAGTACCATAAACGTAAGATCATTCACTATGCAAGCGACATAAGTAAAGGCATTTGCATGCGCACCAATTGAAAGAGCGATAATTCTTTGTTAAACTCTGGAGATTTTTGTTTTTGCATATCATAGACCTTGTAAAGGAACCATTTCTTATGCTATATACTTTTTGACTTATTCACAATTATCAAGCACAAACCAATGTAGAAGTTTTCTCTCCTTTAGACTGAGATTTTTCATTTTCTTTGTGCTAGCCGGTTAACACTTAGATTGAAACACCCATAACTTTGTTTCTTCTATGACAACATCCTCGTTTTGTAACGCCCCGATTCTCAGGTATTGATTAAATACGAATTCTTTTGTTTCCAAGGTCTACTCGACGAGTTGGTTGCCCTACTCGTCGAGTAGCAACGGGTTGGTTTGCGAATTTAGTGGCCTACTCGCCAAGTCCAAGAAGGTACTTGACGAGTAGGAGCTGGCAGATGAAACCCTAAATCCCGGGGTTTTGCACCCTATTTAAAGAATCATATGCCCCCTTTGGTCTCTTTACAACCCCTTGAGAGTACATAGAACCCTAATCCGTGTGATGATTCATTCTAGTGTGTTTTAAGCTTGGAAAGAGAATTCTTGGAAAGAAGAGCTTGGAGGGCAAGATGCTAGAAGCAAGGAAAGTGTGGAGAATCAGAAATCTACCTCAGTTAGCATCATTTAAAGGTATCAAGTCGCCACCTTTACCTCATTTCTTTCTAGACCTCTTTTAGGTGATATTTAGGGTTATTTTGGCTTGGTTATGATGATATTGTGGTGTATGAGCTAGATCTGAAGTTGTAACTTCAAATCTGGACCCTTCTTGGGTTTTAGATTCAGAAAGTTTGAGCTTTGGTCATGAATGAAGCCTCCTTTGAGTGTAAAGCCCCTTTGTTAGCTTGGATTTGTCATTTAGAGCCTTTTTAGCCATGCATGCACGTAAAGTTTGCAACTTTACGTGATAAGCAAGCCTAGGGAAGTTGAATATGCAATTTGGGGCCTTGGCATGGCTTAAAAGGTGTCTGCATGGTTAAAGGACTGAAGGGACTCGGCGAGTCATATGAAGATAAGCATAGAACTCGACGAGTTAAATGAACAACTCGGCGAGTCCGAAGAAGATTTTCGTAGACTCGACGAGTTGGATGAACAACTCGATGAGTCGGTTAATGTTTCCCCTAATTGATGAATGTGTGTGAACCTGTCGAGTTCCAAGAAGGAGAACCCGACGAGTGGCCTTAGGGCTTCGATCGCGAACCATAGGAGCTCGACGAGTATCTCGACAAACTCGGCGAGTAGCCGAGGGTACTCGATGAGTAAGGGTTTACATGGACTGTTAACCTTGACTGTTGACTTTGACTTTGACCAGGGGGTTGAATAGTTGACTTATGGGGTTTGAAAGGTTGAGAACTTACGAGTATGGTTCTATTATGATAATAGGTGGTGGAGTTGCGGTCGTGATTTGAGAGTTGGAGTTTAGTTGCCGAGCCGACATTTGCAAGGTGAGTTATCCTCACTATATTAAGGGGTCTAAGGCACCAAGGCCGGCCCACTGGATTTGATATACTAGCAGTTATTGATATGTTGAGTTGAGTTAGTGATGTATGCCAGTTGATATGCTAGTCGGGTGGATCTGTAGGACTACCTGTGATATTGTATGATTATCTATATGTGCATTACTTATGATACATGTTGATATGTTATGTGAGATGGGTTGAAGTGAGACTGCTTCATGTGGTAATCCAAAAAACCCAGGAGCATTCCAGTTACGGGCTAAGGGAGAATCGTACTATGGGCTCGATGGCAAGCCGGATGTGAGCTGTGGTCCGAAAGCAATCCAGACTCACACTATGGGCCCAGAGGGGTATTCTAGTCTGTAAACCTGTGTACCCATTCTATGCTGTTTCGGTTTGCTATGTTATGATGTTGCTGACATGATTATGTGGACCGTATGTGTATCGGTATTTTGGGGGAACTCACTAAGCTTTCGGGCTTACAGTTTCAGTTTATTGTTTTAGGTACTTCAGGAGATCGGGGCAAGGCTAAGGCGTGATCGTACAGCTCCTTACTTTTTATGAATTTGTTTCTGGAATACTCTGATATGATACA